GAGCTTTATTTTCAAGACAAAGGTTTGTCATTATTATTTAAAAATCGGTTAAATGACCGCCGTGGCTCGCTAGAATAAAATCTAGCCGAAAGGCCCAGTTTCTTAATACTTTTTGTAGCAATTGGAGGCTTATGTTAACAATAACGTGCCCAATATTCTTTTCCAAGGCGTTAATCGTCTCGGGCTTATATGCGCAGTGAAGCGACTATACATAACCCTACAAAAAATAGTCCTGTGGTGTTTAGTCGCCCAAGCTTGAGGCCGCAGGCTCACGATCTGGGATAATGCGTTCGACAAAAGTTTCCTTCAATATATTTATTGTTTCGTTCGCTGTTTAGCATATATGTAGAACCGCCTGTTTGGAACCAAAGTTCATACACATCAACGTCCTCCTCAGGCATGAAGATGCCATTAATCGTGGGTATATTGCCTTCGACATTGAAATTATAGCCGAAAGTGATATGGACCAATGATTCCCTTTGCATATAGAGCACGCCAAAGAGTGTATATTTGAGGATGTCGGTGGAGAATTGACGGCGGCTCAGCAATGACTTGTTGACTATCATAATTTCACATTCTAAAATTTAGTTTATTATCGCATCAATTCAACCATAAATGATAAGCAACACTGAACGAATGTGTGCCGCACTTGATGGTCGTTCGGTTGCAATTTTTGCACGAGTTGACTTTTGTAAATACACAAAAACCAAGATCCCTCCCCAAAATTTTCCATAGAGTAAATGGGCACAACTTCAATTGTTGCACCCTATGGAGGATGGTATCATTGGGGTCTTCAGTGCTGCTCACAGGAGCAATTACGTCGTCGTTACTCAATGTCGGGCTTCTCTGAGAACGTGCGTTATACCCTAGAGTAAAAGTTTTGAGAAATTGGTCAAAGCTTGCTCGAACTACCAACTTTGGCGGGCACACCAATTCCGAAAAAAGTATTGCCTCATTGAAAGCAAAACGTGTTAAAAACTTCGTTTACAGCTAATGATACTAGTAGCAGTCTAGTCAGCAACAGGTAGTTTTTTGTGCGCAGTATGTATGAGTATATTATGTATTACTTAGTATATAGTACATAAAATCAGTGTAACTTCCAACATACATATGTTCATATGTACACTTGGTTACGTTTTTAATTATCTGGAATATTCATGTCAGCAATTATACTGCTTTGATGATTGATGATTGAACGGAATCGAGATCAAAGCAAATATTACATACAGACCCACGTATATATGTTTGTATGCACATTATTACTGCACTTTCGATTTCTTGTATACAAAAAGAGAAAACTTCAAATGGCCAGTAGCTTGGTATATGCACATGTATATAAGTCCTATATGTCTATATGTATTATTTGTATTCCCAGGCATTTCTAAAGAAATTCGCACAAATTTTGGTATCTATTTTGACAGTGAATTTATGATATTTACTTTACTTAAGTACGCACATATGTATGTATATAAATATACGCATAAATACATGTATTTTTCAGTTACAAATATCAACATTAAATATATTTGAATTATTAAATAAATTTAAGAAAATACCATATGCCGAAATTTAAAGTTCAGTACGAGCTCTTGGGTTTGGAAATGTATTTTTAATTGAAAAAAAAAAATAAAGAATACACATTCAGTGCATTGTCCGCCTACAATGACTACTTCCCCCTCTCTCCGGCAATTTACGAATACCATCTCATAAAAAAGAGACCTCTCTGCGCTCGATTCAATCAGAGAGCCGTTCCGTGTTTTTTTTTTTTTTGTTTTCGTCAAAAGACCCAAACCAGTGACCGCCAAATCGTTTTGCATTCGTAGAAAAAGCTAGTATTCAGAAGGATTGAGGTGTGGCCACCACTTCGGGTTGTGTAAGACTTTTTTTCGTTTTTACGACGAATTCAGCTTTACCCACCTCCCGCAAAATCGATCGTGAAGCGCTTCTAAGGGTTAAGCGAAAAATCCAACAGACCAATGACCAAAAACCAGTAACAATCCGGACTGCCCTGAACCCCAAACTTGCCTCTTAAAATAAACAGCTACAGATTTGTTCATGAACTGCTACAATATTATATGGGGAAGCACTCAGTTAGTAGATTTTAATACAGAAAAGCGAGTCGGTTTAGGTAATGTGTATTAAATTCGCTACACAAAAATCTAAAAGACCCTTGCAATTCAAAGTTTTTGCTCTGCATGAACACAATGAAAGGGGCTTAAGTGTCTCTTATCAATTTAGTTAAAAATAAAACTCCAAGCATTTTTCTATGGCTGTGGAGTGTAGGTAGATTAATGAGCCCTGAACGGCTTTTGTAGCCAGGCAGGCTCTTATTCGCATTCCAGTTTATATTTCTTACCGCGATTAGTAGGAATTGCTTTTTACCACTATACAATGGATCTAACAAGTGAGGTTAAGAGTAATTTGATAATGTATGGGTCATAGACTAACTATAACCTGCAAGTTGGAGCCCTTTTTTCTACAGAACGGATCGGATTGCTTTGTGCCTCCGACTTCCTGTAAGTTTAAATATTAATTAATTGATTTTTGGGCTGAATTAGCGTTATTCACAAGTTCTAATTGATCCCTGCTATAAATTTGGAGAGACAACTTAGTCCAAAGATACGATTGGGGAGCTACGGCTCTATATACGTGCCAAAGAGTTATCGCCGTAAGACGAGCCCTTGGCCCCAGTATCTGCCGCTGGTTCCTGGTATTAAAGATGGTGGTACAACTATTATGTCCCTCAGAAATTTTGGACAAATAAACAAGGTATGTGAATGTGAAAAAAAACATGAAGGGAGAGTCGGTATTTGTGTGGTCTCCCGAAGCAGCAAGTATGGTAATGATGTGGAGGAAACGCTCAGCCATCACTTATGCGACTGTTCTGCTTTGCGCAGTACGAGGTTTCGGTATATTGGTACCCCACTGATGAATAATTTATCGACGTCATAGTCAGGGATCTAATGAGGTCCATCAGAGTATCGAAATGGTTGGATAACGAAGCCTAATAGTCAAGTTGTCAAATTTTTATGGCATCCAAATAATTCTTAGCCAGACCTAAGTGTATTCGTTACGATAGATTGATAGCCTGCCCTCTGGAAGTGAAGATCAGATCAATTCTCAAAGGCAATATATGAATTATCATGCGATAAACAGTTGGATTTTTGTACCAGCAGAAAGGTTTGCAATAACCAAAAGGAAACACACAAAGACAACAGTTCCCTTACTTCAAAAGGTGTTTGGAGTGGAAATAAAGAGGCCTTACATTTGCTATGACGTCATCAGGTTAATTTTCAGCCATGAATTGAGGCCTCACCGACACATTTTCCACTTTGCCTTTTTACTTCCAAGGCCTTACGATTTGCTGCTGGGATGTGGAAAACATACTGATTTGTTTTTAAATTATTTTTACTGTCAAATCTATTTTTAAGTAGTTTAATTGCCAATGCTAATGAGAAGTGAACACGCTTGAATATTCGCACAACAAATGTAATTGCAAACTTTTCTTTTTGTTGTATAAAAACATACATATTTACATACACTCACACATATAAAGCTTTTACTCAGAATGCTGGAATAGCTCGAGAGCTCGTGCTTATTAATTTTCGAACGATCGACAATGAGATACTCGAGCAGCTCGAAAATGTTCGAACAAAATTTCGCTCTCTGGTATGTATGTACGCATACATAAAATTCAAAACTTGTTGTTGTAGTTATCACAAAAATTAAAAAAGCTTAGTCATTATGACTTCACAATTCCGTAGATTTTTTTGTGCGAATTCGAGTAAATCATTGTCTTACCTAGGTATATTTCGACAAAACATTTGGTCGCCGTGTGACGCTGTAGTCAAGATATTCCCAAATATTGCAACTACTACCGTTTTGACAGAAATTCGGGGCATATACTCATACTCTATAATTAGCAAATTGGTAATCTATGAATCGATTGTCAGCCTAGCTCCTCTTTCGTGGTTTGTCCTCTGTTATTTTTCCGACAAATGGAAGGGCCTAGAGATCATACTAAGCCGCCTCAGTACGGCTGATGGATTTTTCACTGATAACCTAGCTATTTCCAAACAGATATGCTCTCAGAAGGACTGCTATTCCCTCGCGAGGATCGAGCACAATTGAATTTTGTGATTTACTTGACTTGAGAAAACCCTCACTTAAACAACTCAAGTGGACAACAAGTGGGGTTGATATGCCTCCAAGGTTCCTCTTCAAACTAAAACTTATGAATTTTGGAAACATAAGACAGCATTACTTAGAGCCCAAATCGGTTAGCTATTGAGCTTAACCCAAATCATATTTTATCAATGAAGTTCGGCTTCTCAAAGTCGCCATCGAATCCTAATTCGATTTTTTATTGCCTTCAGTGTAAAAAATTGTCATTTCAAAAGTCATGATGAGCATTTCACTTGTCTGCGGTTAGAGAGATGAAACGATCGTTCGATTAATCGAACAACAAGAGCTTTACTATATATGTATGTAATATATAATAATGTATAATTGGCGATTTGTAAGCGCTGAAGCGATTTTCGGCCGAGCGCCTCCTCCAATTTGAGATTTTGCGTCTTAATGTTTTTTCCAACAAATGTAGGGACCTACAGTTTATACTAAGCCGCCGCCGAAGGGCTGAGGATTTTTTTTATGAGGAGCCTTTACTTCATGTCAGAAATACACTCTGAAGGGTGGACATTCCCTGCTGAGAGGCGATCGCAATTAGATAATTTAAGAACATTTTTTATTTAAATAAATTTTATTACTTTTGTATGTCGGTGGCTTTGAACCCGGACCTTACGCAATGCTAACCATTCAGCGCAGAAGCCGCCAGGCGACGGAACTATTGTGGGATTTTCAACAAAAATGAGCTATGTGCTATTTAGAACCACGTTCATTTAATATATACATGCATATAGGTATGTATGTGTATTGTATTAATGCCCTATATATATGTACATATTAAAGTCAGGTATAAATACAGAATTGATTACCTTTACTAACATTCCCGTTGATACATTCATTGTTGTTTTAGATCGCATTGGCGATAGTTCGAACGAACATTAAAATTTTCCGCAAAAATTCTAAATATTTTCTGCCGGAGTGTGTATAATGAAAGGTGTAAAAATTTCGAAAAATGGATGACTGACAAAAAAAAATAAAAATATAAATCAAAAAGTGTGTGAAAAACAAACGAAAAAAATTAAAAATAAAAAAAATCTAAACAAAATGTCTAATTCCATCGCATTTGTCGTTTACCTAATATTTCTCATGCTCGGAGCTACCACAGCTGGTTATATGGAGGACAAATACCCGGCGTCGGTTTTGGAAGATACTAATTTGGATATGGTGTGTACAGAAAATACAGGTGAAAATCGGGAACATCGCGGTGATCCGACTCGGTGTCAAAGCCTTTAAATATTCATAAGTCTACAGTTGGATTTAGAGTTGTTGAAAATTAATTCAAAATCATCAAAGTTCACATCGTATCGTATATGTAGTCGCAATCGCATATCGACATATGTACATAGTTTTACCTCTGTCAACAGCATTATTTATTTGATATTAATTTAATCAATTGCCGGCATTATTATTATTTATATAATTGTATTTATTCTCTGTCTGTCACTCATAGTTTGGCTTGACGAGAAAATATGACTATCCGCTAGAGAGTCATTTTGTCACAACAGAGGATAAATATATTTTATGCCTTTTCCGTTTAAGACGTCCCAAAGCTCGGCCGGTATTTCTAATGCACGGACTTTTGGATAGCTCAATTACCTGGATACTCAGTGGACCATGGGCTGCTCTAGGTGAGTGTGTATACTAAATGGAAAATAAAAAATGCAATAGAATGGTTTACAATAAAATAGAGAAAGAGTAAAGAAAACACACAAATAGAAAAATATTAATAATAATAAATATAATAAATAAGATAATATGAAATAAAATAAAATTAAAAAATTAAATTAAACAAAATAATTAAAAATAAAATACAAAAAAGATTACTAAAATAATTAAAAACTAAAACTATATTAAATGAAATAAAATACTTTAAATAGAATTAAATTAAATTGAATCAAATAATAAGGAAAACAAAATCAAATACAATAAAAAAGTAAGGGAAAATAATTAAAACAAAATGAATTAAAAAAATTGAATTGAATAAAATAAAGTAAACTAAATTGATATAAAATAAACAAAAACATAAAAAAAAGTTAAACAAAAATAAAATAAAAGTTAAATAAAATAAAAGAAAGTAAAATAAAATAAAATAAAATAAAATAAAATAAAATAAAATAAAATAAAATATAAAATAAAGAAAAAAAATAAAAAAAAATAAAACAAAATAAAAAAAATAAATAAAATAAAATAAAGTAAAATAAAATAAAATAAATTTATATAAATTAAAACAAAATAACATGAATAAAATAAAATAAATAAAAAAGAAAATAAAAGCAATAAATTAACAATAAAATAAAATAAATTAACTTATCTTATTAAATAGATTATTTCTTCATATATAATGAAATGAATAATATAATATTAAGAAAAATAAAACAAAGTAAGAAATAACTTATTTCACCTAAGATGAAAGAAAATCAAACAAAACGAAAGAAAGCAAAACAGAATAAAATGGAATAAGATTAAATAAAACAAAAATTAAAAATTTAAATAATATAAAATTTATAAATTCAATAGATTAAAGTGAAATAAACTAAAATGAAAGAAACAGAAAAGTGAAATAAAATAAAATAAATAAAACCAAAATTAAAAATAAAATACATTAAATAAGCTAAGAATTGATTAATAAGAAAATAAAGATTAAATTAAATTATATGTAATAATATTATTTGAAATAAAAAAGCATATAAAATAATAATTTAATTTTGATTAAAATAGTAATAAGAAAATAAAAAAAAAAACAATATTTTTTATGATAGAAAAAAACTAAAATAAAATAATAAAATAAATAAAGAAGATTGAATTAAAATAAAATAAATTATTTTATCTTAGAATAAATTAATTAAACCAAGTTAAATAAACTAAAAAAAAATAAATAGATAAACAACAAAATAAATAAATTCAAAAAATAATTTACAATAAATTATTTACAATAAATTAAAATTAAATAAAAAATACATTAAATAAGATTTATTTTAATTAATTGAAATAAAAAAAGAAGTAAATTTAAATAAAAATTAATTAAATTTTAAAACTAAAATTAATTTTCTATAATAAAAATAATCTAAAAAATTTATATAAATTGCTACAAAGCAAAGTAATATAAAATGAAATAAAGGTGAAATGAAGGAAAAATCAAAAATACTTACATGCACTTTCCATATATTTATAGGTTATTATCTCTACGATTTGGGTTATGACGTGTGGATGGGCAATGCACGCGGCAATTTCTACTCACGTAATCATACATTTTATAATCCCGACAATGATAAATCCTTCTGGCGTTTCAGTTGGCACGAAATCGGCTATTATGATTTACCCGCTTCCATTGATTTTGTTCTGAAGAAAACGGGCTTTGATAAATTGGCTTATATTGGGCATTCACAGGTGAGATAATATTTTTATACTAGACAGTAAGGGAGAGGCAAACTATAAATACAGACGTCATCATTTAACAAAACTTCGACACGGAAGGCCCCCATTGCCCTATCGGTGACATATCGTTTGAGTAAGCAAAAGCATAGAAAGATAAAACAAACGATTCGGACACACAAACTTTTTTTCGGTGTTCCACCTATCTACCGAGCAACATAAATCACTGCGGCTCAAAGTGCGAACTAAAAGTATAGGATATGTTTCAAGCTCCGGTGTTTGCTATTATGGAAAAAAAAATATTTTTATTTTGACTGAGAGCGAAATAAGATAGGGGGAGGTCGTTCAGTACATACTACCTAAAAAGAGACGACATTTCAAAAACACCTGGTACATTGAGAGGTCACTGCATGGTGGCAAAACATGTTGAAGGGCAATGCGCTTTATTCAGAAGATCTTATAGGAGCTGTAAGAAAGACGAGAAGAAGGGAGAAAGTTGTTAAACTTACTCAAAATGGCACAAGGATAGAAACATAGTTTCAAGATTCTGATCTTGATATATAAAAGGAACTACCAACTTGATAAATAAGGATCTATCAAATATAAACTTGTATTTTATTCATTACTTTATTCCAGGGCACCACAACATTCTTTGTAATGTCTTCCATGCGACCGGAATATAATGCCAAAGTCACTGTGATGAGTGCGCTGGCGCCCGTCTCTTACATGAAAAACCTTAAAGCGCCATTGTTGCCAATTATGCGAAACTTATTGGCTCTATCAGGCAACGCGATCACAGAGTTTCTGCCACGTTCAACATTGTGGAAGGCATGCTTTCGCTCCAAAATAACTGAAGATACTTGTTATGATTATTTGTTTCAAATAATGGGAAAGGATCAAAAGATGTGGAATGCGGTGAGTAGAGATGAAGTAGACTCAAATAAATATTATTTGTATAAATATCTCTCTCTCTTCTTCACTCTCTCTCTCTCTCTTTCTCTCTCTCTACCTCCAGACAATGGCGCCAGTTTATATGGCACATCTTCCAAGTGGTTCCAACTTGAAACAGTTCAAACATTATGTACAACTGATTGACTCAGGCCGTTTCTGTCAATATGATTATGGACCAGTTGAGAATATGAAACGTTACGATAGTTCACAGCCAAAAGAATATCCGATAAAAAATATTACTGTGCCTGTGGCACTATATTACGCATCCAATGATCATCTCAGCAGTTATAAGGACGTAATACGTTTGTCCAAGGAGCTGCCTAATGTTGTGGAAAACTGCCTCTATCCTTATAAGAAATGGAATCATATGACAATGGTGTGGGGTCTGGAGTCACGTGAATTGGCGCACAAACGTATGGTGGAAGTGATGAAGAAGTTTGAGCCGGAGTTATGACTTAATTTAAGCAAGCAAAAGGGAAAATTTGATGTGTAATTATTTGATATGGAGAGACAATGATATATGTTTAGAGGGAATTGAATGTATCTATGAACTTGTGTAAAATAATTGAGTAAATTTCCTTTTAAGAGAGTCACATTACCTATCGATTCTACGAGGTGTGCCAATTATGTAATGAGTCTGATTATATTGCCGTGGTTGACCCTGTATCCTTGAAATTCCTTTTCTCTTCTCCCGGCATCCTTCTCCTCCTCATTGATATATTTGCCATCGCTCTAGCTTGTTTAGTCCGCCTGCTGTGCCGTGTTTAGTAAACGTGTGTTCGTGGTGCTCGTCACGAAAATGGAAAACAAAAACGAAACGAGCAAAAGTAGCATCGAATGACCGTCCCAGAAGACTGTATGGAACAAGTGGTAAACGACCCCACGCTGATTGATCGAGTTGTTATAGGCGATAAGAGCGCCCCTGAAATGAAACGCCATAGCTCGCATTGGTTGTTTCCGCTCGCCGCCCGCGGGATGATGCTCCCTTGTGAAGTGTCACACATTCATTCAGATGATCGATGAGATCAATGCAGAGGTGTTTGCATTATTGGAAGCTCCCTCCACGTCAATGAATGCTGCGTATACTCTTTTTTTTGGTATGAAGATTGCAATTGCCCCGACTACTTCATGTAATATCAACTGTTGTATGCCAGACCTGAGCATGCTGTAGGAATTGTAGCCGGACTTTATGCTAACCGTGCAGATCCTTTCCATGCTTTTGAATCAAAAATTATGTACACAATCGGTACACAGCTTAGACAGGAACTTTGGGGGGTAGAAGGGAGAGGATGTTCAGGTGTAGGAAGACTCAAAGAGTCCAATGGCTATTGGTAAAGTAATTAAAAAATTAGAGATGGTTCGGGAAGACCAATCTCTTTGTCTCTATACAAATTTGTGGAGCGAGGGGATGTTTCGCGGAATTCTGGCGGGCTTATGTACTCACGTTTTTTCATGGAGTTTTCTAAATTTGATGGACCGCGAACTTGGTATCAGCCATAAGTGTGGTCTGCAGATAACCATTTGATACAATTTTCACGATCCTTGCCGTACCCCTAACAATCAGGTTAACTCCCATAGGTTAACTTTTGAAGTGCGGTCTGATGATTATCGCACTATTTGTGGATATTCGAGTTTAGTTTTATTGAAGACTCCTCGATCGTTCCCTTTCATCTTTGTTAGCTCTTCTGTTACCCAAGACTCTAACGCCACCAAATATTTATTACAGTTGGTTCTGATCTTGTTATTGCCTTCATAATTAGTTGCATACATCTTTTTTCTATACTTTCCGTTATGGTCTTCATCCAAACCGTTGCAAACAAATGGGAGATAAAGTGTTACCAGAAGGAGCTACTGATTTACCAGCTAAAAGAGAAACATTTAAGTGCCTGGCCTTGCGGTCAGGATAAAATGTTTGCAAGTTGGGTGCTGAAAGTCCGGTAACTCTATCTCTTTAGGTACTAGGCTTCTGATCAAACTTTATATCAAACCTATTTTTGCTTATGAAGCCAAGCAGAGTCGTGAATGCAACGCATTTTACGTGCATTAGCGTAGGAGGAGAAGGAGGTCCTGTCCTCATTGATTTTAGAAGTTGTTGCACGTGTTACTGGATTGTGTCTTTTAAGTCTAATACCCCTTTCTGATTTTCTGATGTGTCTAGGTGGAGGTTCAGCTTCTATTAGGTGCCCATTGGGGTGCTCCCTACAGTAACATTCCAATTGTAACTGCCTCTTTATATGACCGATGTAGTAAATGCTCGTAAATACTCGTCTTCATTCTTTTTCCACCCGTAGCACTTCTGGGGCGGCGGTGGTGTTAGCCTTAATTTCTACGAGTACATCAACCAGCTGCTCGGTCCAGTGGCCATCTTCAACAGGCGGCATCCCATCTGTGGCGAGTTTTCAAAACTTCTAAAAATTATTATTAAAAATAGTTTAAAACTCAGGTAAGCAAATATTTTAGATTTTCACTTCCTTTTTACTTCCTCCCAGCAAAAGGCAATCCGATACCACGCACATAAATTGTATAGCTAAAAAACAGTTTGTTTGATGGCATACTTTAAGGCGTTTGCAATTGTAATTGTTATACCCTAGCGCGCTCATACCAACTCGCGGCGAGCAGTACTTAACGTAATGAAGCTTTGCTCATTTGCGCACGGAAAACAGTTGTTGATGATGTGAGTGTTATTTTTGTTGTTGTGAAGGCTGTTGCAAAATACTTCAAATATTTACAAACTCTTTGTACGTTTAAATTTGCAAGTAAATAAGCATTTCCACATAGATTCTCCTTGCTCGGTTTGTTATTTTGACTTTGGCTTGCTGATTCTACTAACGGTATTTGTTTGTTTTTACCGCTCGCTGCTCATTTAACTACCAACCCGATTGTCGAAGTTATCTTTGTTCTTGAAGAGCTGGAAAATTTAAGAGAGCGCCACTTGCCACCAGCGCAGCGCTTCAGCCAAGTTCAAGAGACACTCTGCGGCAATACTTACATATAAAAACAGTTTCACTTGGATAAAATTCCAATGCGAAATGACTGCTCTTGAAATGAGTTATTTTGCCTTAATTAATAATTTTTCCTTAATTAAATAAAGCAACCGTTGCTTCAACTTTAACATAAGACCTCCAAGCAGAAGCAGCAAAACCCAAATGAATTCACTCAACTCACACATGAATAGAGCGCATAGTGACAGTTTAATATCGCAATCCTTTTAAATTCACCAGAGTTGGGTGTTGGCATGTGAGAGCGCTGAGTGACAGCAAACTAAAATTAAAAAAAAAAAAATACACAGATTTACAAAAGTTTGCAAGTGCAGCTGTGTGGGAATTGGTTCTGAACGCACCCACCTATCCATATCCACAATTTCAACTCCACTCATCCACACCCACAACCACCCAGCTGCTGGTGAATTAAGTTATTTGTCAATGTCGCTGCCATTTCGGCCAATTGCCAAGCCTTCCTTCCAACTGCTCGACTGGCAACTGTTACTTTGCGACAGCCTGTCACCGGTTGGGCTCGTACCGCAGCCTGAATGACCAATCGTTTCAAACGAAAATCAATTGTTCCAAAACAATTGTGTTCAACTAAAAGCAATCGTACAGTGCCACAATGAGCAGAAAACTAAAATTAATTTTATTTTAAATTTTCGAAATTTGCTTAAGTGGCCAGTACACACATAAATATGTAGGTGTAGAGGTATACAGGGTTTTCCAGTAAGAGGTTGATCATTGCAATGTAAAAAGGAAACTATGCTATTAATAATGGAATGGAAGTGGCTACCAGGCATCTAGACCGCAAGTGAACCCATTGTGATACCACTGAGGCTCCTAATGGCCACCAACCGCCAGCGTGTGGAGTTTCTAAAAGTGAGTAGTCGCCGCATCTTGGCCCTCGATATTTCGCTGGAGTCTCCAAAGCTTGACACCCTTAGATATTTCAGCCTACTCTTCTAAGTGCAGAGCATAAGCAAAGAAAGTCTCTTATGGTTTCAGTTTCTTCTTCTTGTCTGCAACATCTGTAGAAATCGTTAGTTGGTACGCCCAACCGCTCCAAGTGCTTGCCAAACAGCATATGTCCCGTAAAGAGACTTATAACCCTAGATATATACTTCCTTTTCAGCCCGACGACGTGACCTTCCACCATTAAGCTGAGACAATTGACAGCCTCATGCGTAGCCTCCTGAAAAACAGACGGTAAAAGAAAAGATTTACAGTTACCAAAGATCCCTTGAGAGATTACCGCCACCGACTCTGTTATCGAGCTTTCGCCCGTTCGTATAAAAATGAATCGAGTCGTTGCTTGCTGATGTTATCCAATCCCAAAAGTTCCTATTCGGTACAATTACCTTGAAATCTGTCGTGTAGTCAGGAATGACATGAATAAATTGTAATTTCTGGTAGACGGAATCTTCTTAAGATGCTAAGCCACGGTCAGCCTTACCGCGGCACAAGCAGCATTGTGCAGTCCCATTATGTCAATGGGCGGTGAATTTAGAAGTACGAACATCCATAGCCTCAGTTGGTACCACACCAAAGTGCTCTGCTGTTGCACCGAAGCGCCGCTCTCTGTACTCTATCGTATTTGGACATAGTGGATTTTTTCTCAAGTCCAAGCTTGCAGACTTAACCCCTGAGGGAAATATATGCCTAACAACTGTGATATACTTAAAGCCAATGCGGCCCAATTTCACCTTTGCAGGTAGAGAGGGCAATGGACGCCTTACCCAACCTTTCCTCAGAGTTATGTGACCAACTTAATTTTCTGTCCAGTTATTTTGCAGACTCAGCAAAGCGCAGATCCGTTCCTGCGAGCCTCGATATTGAAAACTTAGGAATTTTATATTTTCAGATTAAGAGAACAAGTTCTGTTTTCTTTCTGCCTGTCTAGTATCAGTTGCCCACTTTTCTATAAGCCTAAGTCCGATCTGTTTAATACCAAACAAAGTTTGTGGGAATTAGCCATGCACTATAACTGACAAATCGCCCACATATGCTATGACATTGCAGCCCCCTCCTTTTTAATGTATACAGGACCGCATCGTTTTTATGAAAATTCTCCATTATCAAATCGCAAATTCCATCTTTGAGGTCTCCAATCGAACTTGGCCCATTGGCGTAGATCTCATCTCTTACGTGTCTCTCAGGAAAGAAATCGCAAGGTGTTAAATCACAAGATCGCGGTGGTCAATTGCGATTACCTCTTCGAAAGATAGCACAGTCCGGAAACTTATCCCTTCACAGATCGTTGGTTTCATGGCTTACGTGGCACGTAGCGCCATTTCATTAAAGAAAACTTTGTCCAGATGAATACTGACAAAATAATCAGAAATCAAAGGTCAAAAAATAGACCGTTTCAAAAGTTCAGCAGACTATTTGAAATAACACCTCATTTGGGGAAACCCTTTATAAGACGACATAAAAAAATCTTGATTATTTGCGCAACTTGGCGCCACTGTACTTTTCGATTTATATTGAGTTGTTCAATATGCGAAAAAAGGAAACTGTATTCACTTGTGAAAGTACTCTTATGTATTCACATAAATATTTATGTATATACGTGTATGTATGTACATATATATGTACTCTTAAATAAA